TTCCTTTCCCCCTTGCCCCTCTCTAAAAAAAGCAATGGGAAAAATATCCTTGGGTGAGGATTAACCAAAAAAATTAAGATTGCTTCTAATTTTGTCAATGAGATATTATCACAGTATATTGTAATCCCAGAAGTAATAGAATCTGAGATCAATAAGTGGTCTTATTAATGAAGGTACCACATTGGGAGCAACCTGGCAGGTTGACCCTGAGCATCATCTCCCACCCACACCAAACAGCAGGCCAGGTAGTAACAAGAGGAGTATTTGCCATCAGGAATTGAATACAGGAGCTTAAAATTGAGAGATGTTGTTGTGCTCTAGGCCGCTGGCAATGCCTGGAAGGAATGAGAAGGACCTATACTCAGAAACTAGCTACCAATATACCCAGTTCAGTAGCACATTTTGATCCTTCTCTGCCATCATTGAAAATGGGTGGTACAAGCTATTTCAAAGTTCTGCTTCTTCTCCAAGCAGACTAAGCAAATAGATGTGAAAGGCAGTACAACCAAAATTATCAGCTCTATAGATTGTAAATATTTTATGCTAAAATGTACTTTTTTCACATTTTTACATCTCTGAACTTGAGCTTTATCTTAGAATCAATGGCATCTAATTGACCCTGTTTTTTCCTTGCTAAAAGATTCTCACAATCTATACTAACCAGTCTAAATATGTAAAAAGGAGTTTAAGTCAAATAATAAAAGTTTTGCTTAGGACAAATAAACCTCTCAGTTCTTAGGTGTACCATGCCAGCATGGCCAAGGGTGAACCTGAGGAGGGGCGGTGAAGGATTGAAGAAAAGACAGACAAAAGAATACAGCTGGGGCTCGGTGGATCTCCCGTGCCTGGATGAGGACACAAAAGACCCACCCTGCAAGCCCATGCTTTATTTTATAGTCTGATTAAAACAAGGGTAGATTAACATGTATACAAATGATCTTGTTTTGGCAACACTTGCTGCACCTTCCACAACCCATTAGCTACTTAGGAAGGAATTAGGGAGGGCTAAAGGTCAGGCTTAATTATGCTAGGAGAGCTCTGCCCTCCAGGCTGGGACTTGTTTGTGTCCTGCCACAGGTCAGCCCAAGGCTTGACTCTAGAGCAGCTCCCTACACTTAGGTCAATTTAAAATTATGAAGTCAGGTAATGGTTAATATTTTTCCATCCCTTCCCCAAAAAAGGAAACCCTCTTTGGTATGGGGTTTAAAATTCTCTTATTTTTATTTTTTTAAGTAGTAGAAACGAGGGAATGATGACATCTGAAGGTCTGGTCCAAGAAGAGACAAAAGTTCTGAAACTTAAGACAGAAATGGTAAGATATGGACATAGTCCTCAAAACTGCCCCTTTCCCCCCTTTCCTTCTCCTAAACTCTTTCTGAAAGAAATGAATTCTGAAATACTAATTTGTTTCAAATTACTCTTTTAGGCTGATAAAGAAAATGTCCATAGACCTACAAGGAGCAAAAATAATGTAACAATGGGAAAAAATTGTATTCCGTTAAAACCTTCTAATGAATTAACCAATTCAACTATAGCCACTGATACAT